CAACATTCTTCATCATATCAGCCCTTTCTGCAACCATCTCCTCAAACTCTTCTGCAGATGGATCTTCTGGCTTGATATCTTCCTCGTCTAAAGGGTCTTCCATCTTTAATTAAAAGAAACGAATTTTTATGAATTGAAGCAGTGATTATCATTTTGCTTGGTTTATGTACACTGCATTTTGTACTTACCTCCATTGGAGTCCTTGCATGCCGTCCAAACATCAGGAAGAAGGGACTATACTTTGTCGAACCTTGCTTTTGGGTACGAATTGAGAAAGCTATTTCTTCTAAATAGTCATCCCAGTTATCTTGGTGTTCATTGATAAGTTTTGCTAGTCGTGCCTTTAGTGTTTGGTTTGTGCGCTCATCAAGTCCATTGGTTTGTGGATGGTATGCACTGGTGACCGAACGAGAAATTCCCAACTGCGTACAGATCTCTGTGTTCACCTGTGAAAATCACAGCAATAGTTTCAATAAATTATCTACTTTTTTGTTCACTCTTTTTAACTCCAGATGGCTTTATGCATCAAAGAGAGGGATGCTAGGGTTGTCATAGTAAACTTAGAATCGGATATATTGAATTTGAAATGGTAAAGTGGTAAACCAAATTATAAATTACCTTCGCAACAAACTCCCGCCCTTGATCAGATAGCAATCTACATGGGGCTCCCCATCTTGTAGATAAAAACAAAAATGCATTAAAACGCACTGTTCAAGATTAGAGATCTGGTATACAAACTATCCAGAACACAACAAATCACACTTATTTACTTCAAAGATAAATTCAATTACTTTGTTTACCTGCAAACAAAGGTTTTAATGCCATGAGCAACACCTCCTGCAGTTTTGTCTTTCAGAGGATAAAAATCCACAAACTTTGTATAGTAGTCTGTAAACGTCAGAACATATTTATAACCAGCTGTTGTGGTTGGGAGTGGACCTGTAAAATATAGAACAAACAAAAAAGGTACAAGTTAGCAAACTGTGCAGAGAAACTTAAATTTTGTAATTTTAAATTAATGACACCAGGTGATTGATAAAATTATACAATAACATGGTTACACACCAATGAGATCCATTCCAACCAATTCCATAGCCTTATTAACTTTAATACTTTGAAGCTCCGGGGCCATTGTCTTTAATTTTTCATATCGCTGACAACGATCACATGACTTACACTAAATTGAGGTAAAAATAATGTGACGGTAAGAATGTTATAGATCAAGTGACTTCAAACTAAGATTTTTACCTGAATCTGTGAACGATTCATCTTGTGCTAGTTGAAGATAATTATTTTGCTTTATTATACTTACATACTCAACCACATCCTCTTTCATACCATTCCACATATAAAAATTGGAAATTTTTGAAAGAGTGTTGTTGATACCACTATGTCCTCCCATAGGATTTGAATGATACTGATAAAGGATATCTTGCATTTCTTTAAGTTCAGTGACCACTTTCTTTTTTACATTTTTTTTTATACCAACATAGAATAATTCCTGTTCTAAAATATAAGTTTATAAAAGGAATAAGTTACTTTATACTTGCAGATTAAGATATTATTAAGCCATTGATTATGCTGCAATGCTCCCCACTTTGTTATAATTATGCTCTGTCCCACGCTTTATTATGTTCTTTATCTACGACCTTTGGATTACTAGCCCAACGCTCTGCCAACTGAGCTACGCGGTCAGATCGGTTCGAATTATTGGCTTTCTAACGACTTGAAGGCCTTCCTAGGGGTCCAGGGGTACTGTATACTCCCCCAGGTACTGTATGCAAAAATAGTAATATGGGCTATTTCCATTTTTACTGGTGGTGCCTTGAATAATTTGATTTCATATGGCATTAGTAAGTAAAGGCCATGAATTTCTGTGCTTTCTAACCGAATTGTAGTGATGTGATAAAAAAATACATGGCCTAGGCAAACACCAGTTAACCCATTGAGTCGCATTGCACCCCGATGCGCCCTACTTTAGTATTTTACTCTGTCTAACGCCAGACGATTTTACTCGTCAAGGGGAAAGCGCTGGCACTTAATGGGTTAACTGGCCTATCTGCCCATGTGTCTAGTTAACCCATTGAGTCACATTGCACCCCGATGCGCCCTACTTTAGTATTTTACTCTGTCTAACGCCAGACGATTTTACTCGTCAAGGGGAGAGCGCTGGCGCTTAATGGGTTAAATTAGAAATGTCATTACATGGCATAATATTTAGTAATTATATACTAATTAGTATAATGTATAGACTTTGGCACATTACAGTACTTACTAGTCGAATCCCACAGATGAGTCTTAGCTTGGTTTCTGAGATTCCGAGCTTCATTTTTTGTCAAGCCTTCTGGGCATTTGTTAGATACCAAATACTCGATCAAATTTTCACACTGCGTATTGTGCTTGCCAAGTCTTTCTTCTCTGGTGAGATGCTTATTTTCTTGGGTAGATATCTCTGTTTCATCAGACACTATGTGTGAATCATTTTTTCTTGGTGAAGGAGTCATGTTCACAAATTTCACTAGTAAACAAGTATAAGAATTGTTTAATAATCATTCTGACAGCAATCATAGCATATTTATAATCGATTTAAAACACATTTAATATAATCAATAAAGAATGGCTGAGATGCTGACAGTATATTACATGTATGTGATGCAGTATTGAATTCATGTATCAAAAAGCCAGCTAACGATAAGAAATCACAAGTAGGAGACCTACCTTGTCAAAAGACAAGTGGGAGACCTACCTAGTAGTAATACCTACCTAGCCTAATAAGTTAATCAAACCTATCTATGACATTCTCGTAAAAATCGTGAAACACGTGCATCTGTACTGCATTTGCTGATTTAGTGATTTGATTTGCACACATGTGTAGCTAAATCAATGTAAACAATAAACTTTAATAAGAATTTTACCTTGAATAAAGACAATGTCCAGGATCTCGAAGTGCAGATATAAAAATATCCAGTATATAAACTAAATATCCAAAAGTTTCTCGCAAAGAAAAACAGAACGTGTTATTGTTTGTGGTTTGATGTGCCAATGATGCAATCTCAGCACGCCGTGAATACAGCCAAAGATTAGATACTATAAAGATGTGTCACTCTGCGAAAATCATGTCCGAGATTTTTTTATAGCCGCCATTTTGCCAGTAAGTGTCAAATTCGTCAAAATTCGTCATATATCGCCAGCATCGCGATGGCAACCTATTGTATTCGTCTCGCCGCCATTTTGGCAGTAAGTGTTATGCACTCGTCATCTCGCGTGATCACTCGTGATCAACACGGAAAATTACGGACACGCAAACATTAGGGAATTACGTCGAGTGACACATCTTTATAGTATCTAATCTTTGATACAGCGGACGCGACCGCAGGCGCATACGGTCACTGCGCATGAGCAGAACAACGATTTACAATCTCAGCACGGTGCAATCTCAGACCGCTACACCGGAACTGAACGGAAGATTTTAATGTCTTTGAAAAAGGAGCAGATTATTACCGCCTTGGAGGTCTGACATCAGAATTGTCGAAGGCGCTTATATGAAAATGTTTAGAAATGCTATAGAAATCGACAATGGTTATTGAAACATTAAAGACATTGGAGAACATCGATCGATCGATATGGGCAATACTTGACGTTATCAACATTCGATACAACACGTGAAAAATAGTACTAACTATCAAGTGATATACTGTATAGTATTTTAAAACTCTTTTTGTATGTTTTGACAAAAAACATGACAGATTCGTATGAATAAAGTGCAAGCACACCGTTTTAGTAAAACATTACAACCTGGTATTAGTGAGATCGGCGTTTATTATAAATCAAAATATTTTATACAAAGATACTCAACGAGTGACTTTATTCCTCCACAATTAATCTAAAATAAAGATTTATAGTAAAACTGACACCGTACCAATTTAAGTTCCTCTACGGAAATTCTAACCAAATTGCAAATTTCGACTCGTTGTAATCTCGCTTCCTGACCATCAGATTTCTGTCAAATCTTCCCCCCAAAGTCCAGGAAATGGCATTTCAGAGACTCTAAATTTAAAAATTTTCCGGGGGGGGCATGCCCACGGACCCCCCTAGGAACACCTCGCACCTGCGGCGCTCGGCTCGTGCCTTCGGCCCTCGTTTCTCAAGCGTCACATTATAGGGGCGCATATTGGTTGATAGCCCACTGACCCCCCCAGAAAAATAGTACCCAGCACGCCACTGCACTGGTGGCGAGTAATGTGCATACATGCAGTTATATCAAAGCGGTCAGTGTTTCTGTACTGACCAATTTGATGTAACTGTATGCACATAACTCGCCTCGCGTGTTTCTGAACACTGACTGCTTTGATATAACTGTATGGAGATCATGTATGCGTATGTTTGTATTAATATTTATTCATATATTAAATAGGACATAGTCTGGCTCCCTGCGATTCAATGTGCAGCCCTAACGTCTCAATTTTAGAAAAAGCTCTTTTCAAACGTCTCAATTTTAGAAAACCATTGAATCAAAGAATTAAAACTATCAGGTGATGCTGTAGAATCATTTAGTCGAAGTTCATCGTCACGAGATCACGTGACGTCATCATCTGATCACGTGAGCATGACGTCACCACCCAACCATCTGACCATGACGTCATCACCTAGACACCACAAGACCACATAAGGCCGTTTTCCACTTCGCTCGTATCGTATCGTACCGTAACGTACCGCTGAACATGCGCAGCTTGAAGATGGGTTAGCAAATTTACGTACTTACGGTTGATTCCGTATCAAAATAAAAAGTTTTACGGAAGTATTAACCAATCAACATTCACTAAATTTTGAAATTTAAAATTTGTTTTGATAAGTTACGGTACGGTGCGCTTGAAGTGGAAAACGGCCTATATGCGATATTCTTGAAACAAAACAGTACCGAACAGCCTGGTCATGTGAATATAGGACATATAGCATTGTGCAAGACGGATAGCATATTAATTTATTAAACAAATTAGAAGCAAAAAGAAAGGCTATTATCAAGCAACGCGGTGACCAATTAAGAGTTGTAAAGCTTGAAAGGTTTAAAGCTTCTATTGATACTCGAGTTCGTTTGGTAAAATATTGACAGCGAAGCTCGATAGGACATATATACCCTTTTAATATTTGAAAAGTTAGGGGAAAAAACCCCCGCCTAGTTTAACGATTAGAAATGAACGAGTTTATGGGGCCACGATGTACATTATAAAATATTTTTATCAATAGAATTTTTTCCATGCATGGATGGCGCTATCAGTTAAACGTATTATAGGGAGTTTATAATAAAACTGAGAAAGGCTAACAGCAATTTGAAATTGTCCAAAGCTTGAATTGTTTGAAACGTCACAAACTAAGGTATCACTGCTCTTAGTCACGTTGAAATATGTGGTCTTAATTAAGTTTGTTCAAGTGTGATTTTAAAACACATACTGTATGGATAATGAGCATAAAATCTGCAGTTGGCAACTATACTCTAACTCTGAATAAAAGCCAATCCAAAGCGTCTTGTTTCGCTATTCCTATATCAACACCCAATGATATTTACCGAAGATACATCAAGGGTGGAGCGAACGCCCTAGCCAATCACAAAAGGACAATATGAACTAACTACCCTCATTTGGAAAAACGTTAATAAGACTTCGCCACATACAAATATACATGCAGACATGACAGAAAGGACCATGTGCAAACACCAGGACATGTAATATCAATATTAACAACGAATGGCATGGGCGCACCACAAGGACAATATGTCGGACTGTGGGCCTTAAATAAACACAAGAAACATAACCACGACTATATTAATAATATTGTTGATTTCGTTGTACTTGAATTCGTCCCAAGGCCGGCTTCTTTTAAGAATTATATTTGTGGCAGTGGAGGCCATTTACAAGAATTTTTAAAAAGACATTGAATCATTTAGTGATAAAAGACATTGAACTGATTTAATGATAAAAGACTGGACATAAGATTCACAAAGCAAATTTCAGTCACTACCAAACCTCCCTTCTAAATTTCGAGATTTGAGAAAGGAACTGATTGGAGGCAACATGGTTAAGTGGGGGGGGGGCACTGTAGGAGTTGGAGGGGAGCTTTGAAAATTTTAGAAATTTTTCAACAGTCTACGAATTAATTTCCACAGACCACAATTATATATGTTTGTCCAGTTTCGTATCAGTGCCCAATTCCCGATTCTACTGCGATGTAGTCAAACAGCCCCGAAATTATTGAATGCATCCTCGCACTAAGAAATGGAATGTCATTTGTCTGATTTTGCCTGTCGGGAAAGATCCATCATCAACCCGTAGCAAAAATTGGCTTATAAACTATGTTTATATTTAACAAATATAAAACATTTTCCGTGTTGATATACAGTTATATCAACACGAGTGGAATTGGGAAAACGAGAAATTGTATGGAAACACGACGCCGAAGGACGGAGTGTTTTCATACAATTTCGAGTTTTCCCAACTTCCATGAGTGTTGATATAACTATATATCAATACGGAAAAAATGTTTTATATTTTTTTTATAATATAGCAATGTAGAAAGCCTGAAGGATAAGAAAAAATTCGGTGTTTACAAGCGGCGGAAAATTTCCCATGTTGACATTGAGTTATATCAACACGGCTCTTAGCCAATCAGTGTTCAGAATTTACAAATGCTATATTATAAATGAATATATCATATAGAAATAGATAGATAGAAACTTTAATATTTAAAGAGGCCGGTGACACTTTAATATTATAATGGTACAAAGATGTACATTCATGTTGTACATTTTAATAATAATACATCTGCGAGACCTTTAATACTTCATACAAGTATGATTTTCAACTGAAAGCTTTACTGTATGTGTCAAGAGTAAAATATATATTAGCCTCACCTTTACATTTCTTATGCAATTCTTCAAACGTGCCAGGGTTGCCAATCGGAGGTGTGGGAATGATCTTCTCTGGCGGCGTCGTTGTTGGTGGTGGAGGTGCTGTCAGCGGAGGGGAGGGCGGAGGGGAGCCAGGAAGCGAACTTGAAGGAGGACTCGACGCTTGAACATTCCCCATTTTCTACCGATGGCATCTATAAATTACCCATGTGCTCAAAACTGGACAATTCTTCACTTCGAAGGAGTGAGGAAGAAATGGTCAGCAGCGGAAGTCCTTAGTTCTCGAGAGAAACGTTGTGTAATATTTTTCAAGTGGCATCGGAAATTTTATCTTCCATAAGTTTTCCAAACTTTCATTAGAATTTTGCACAAGGTTTTTATAATTTTATCTAATAAATTGCTAATTAATTTCTCGTTTCCTTCCAAAAACATGCTCGAATTTCTTTCCGAAATTTTTTTATCTCATACCAACATTGTTTCTTTCATTTCTTTCAAACTTTTTATGTGAATTAGTTTTTATTATAAATAATTTTTATTAGAAAAAGTCACAATTTCCTTTCTGAAGGGAAATAAATTTCCTTGACAGTGGATTACTGGAATCGTTGCAAGGAATCGTTGTAGTTCTATCACTGAGTTCTATCACCAGAAAAGTTGACTAAAAAAAGTTGTCTCGGACAAAAAGGGTATTAAGTATGGCAAACGAGCCAATGTTTCCTGATATTAGTGCGGAAAATAAAGAAAACTCACCAATGAGTGTGGACAGCTTGTGTACGTCTTGCGAGGAACAGGTAGAACTAGAAGTACATTCTTAAATCAATCACTGTAGTTTGAGTGTAGCTGTGTATTGGAATTATTAAATAATCCTCCTTCTATTATAAACTTCCCCAAATAAGTACATTCATCGTCAAGAACGTACAAGTAGATAATTCTAATTTCTGGAATAGGATTTGAAGAAATTCGTACAGGGTCATATATCTCAAAGCGGCCATATAAAAGGGACATGGCAGCATGGGTGGCCGGGCAGCCTGGGCCATCAGCCATGCAGAGTGTTCGTATATTGATTCTTATATCAAATCCAACTGCGATAATCCCTCCGCCCCCTGGGGAATTCGACTTGAAAAAATAAGTAGTTATAGCCCGGCACTCCGTCGTCTAGCTGCCATATAGGCAGTAGCCTGCGAAAACAGCCGCTACTTTATGCTTGGTGACGTTTACGACTTTATGTTATAAGCATCAAAGTAGCAGCTGTTTTTGTAGGCTATTCAGGCAGTTGTGGTTCTCGAAATTTTATTTATTACCAGATTATTCAATTAAAGATAATAGAAACCGCGACTGGTGTACTGCAACAAAACCCCAATAATCCTGAGCCAGCAGCGTGAAGCGCCATGCGAGGGTACTAATTCCGCACAGCTAATTATACCCGGGTATGCATTTATGTCATGGACGGTTTTCGACGTTATGCACATGCGCGAGTACAAGCTCTGTCTAACTATCTAAGTAATTGTTTTTCATTTTGAAAGGACGTATTTTGAATGTATTTTGCTGTTTTACAACAATTTTTTGTTTTAAATTTTGTTAAAAAGTTTACAAAAGTACAACACGGTTTTTTTTCCTGATTTTAACTGGAAATAAGCCTGCAGTTTCATGAATTAGTGCCAGCTGTTCAAACCGTGAAACAAAGTTTGTATAATAATTATTTTGATGTTGATGTTTTTGATAATTTAATCGTTGTTGTGCCGGTTTGGGTAAGGGGCCATTCATTATATATACCCTAGGGTGGGGTGGGAAAAATTGATGGGGGGGGGGGAGTCATGTCACGGTGGGCAAAAAAGACCGCAAATTCGGCCACATACAAATAACTTTCTGTCGTTAGTTTGGAATATCACGAAACTTCCTCACAGGATAGAACTTGACATTTCTAAAAATTGTATCATTTTTGTTTTTCGATTTTGTTACATTTTGGCGGGAAAATGACATGCCAACTTTGGCGCCAAAAAATTAAACACGAGCTAAGAACATGCTAGTACCTTTTTTGAAGAGATTGTCCTGTAAAGATCTCAAAACTGTAAAAATATTGGAAATACAACAAGGCAGTGCGAAGATATGGCGAATCAAAGTTTAAAAAAATCTATTTTTAGTAACAAAATGGCGGATTTTTCAGATTTTTAAACACCATATATCTTTCCACTGCTTTGGTGTATTTTCAATATTTTTACAGTTTTGAGATCCTTATAGCACAATCTCTTCGAAAAAGTTCCTAGCATGTTCTTAGCTCGTCATTTTCCTGCCAAAATGTAACAATATCGAAAAACAAAAACGATACGATTTTTAGGAATGTCAAGTACTCAAGTTCTATCCTGTGAGGAAGTTTTGTCATATTCCAAACTAACGATAGAAAGTTATTTGTATGTGGCCGAATTTGCTGTCTTTTTTGCCTACCGTGTGTAAAGTTCATCTTGTCCTATGGGGCCGTACTTGCTTTTTTGGAGTCTTGTGGGGGGGGGGGGTTGTGTAGAAAAAGAACTGAAAATTTTGTAGCACCTGTCTTAACATATATAGAACATAGTGGTAAGTGGAAAACTTTTGCCAAAAATGAAAGCTAATTTGTATATATATATATATATATGAGTGGCAGCACTCTCACCCTGACGAGTAAAATTGTCGGGTGTTAAACAGAGTAAAATAATCTGGCGTTAGACAGAGTAAAATAATAAAGTGGGTGCATCTAGGGCTTCTAGGCACATTCCCACTTAAGGGGTTGACATGGTGCATATTAGGCAGATAGTCAACCTGGCATTGAGTGGCAGCACCAGGGTCTTAGCCAGCCTACCGTCCAGCCGTCTTTTGGACGGCCATTTTCAAATTTGGACGGCCTTCTAAGAAAGACGGCTTTTGGATGGTTTTTATTGACCTTCCAGAAAATAGACTCGCCTAGTTTTCAACTATGGCAACTTGCTTGTGTGTAATGGTTGGAAATGCAGAAGCAGAAAGGGTGTTTAGCATGCAGAATCGCATAAAAACACAACTGCGAAACCAACTAACCATAGATCGGTTAGACAAGCTGCTGAGAATAAAATACCATGTCCATGGAAACATAAACATTGCTCACTTGCAAGCTGCAGCGGAAAGATTCCTAGCTTCCAAAAACCGCAGAATATAACTATATAAGATAATAAGTTGCTTTTTGTTGTTGTTTGGTTGTGTTCGCTCACACTAGCTTATCAAAGCTACAGGTACTGTATTTATAGCATGAAAGTGACAACATAATATCAATCATAAAATTAATATATTGGCAGATTTACTTAAACTGTACTACTGTAGTCAGTGTAGTGAGTAGTGACATAGTCTGAATTAATTGAATATATATTATTAGTTTTTTGGGCGATTCTCAAGTGCGGTCACCTATTACTCCGAGCATTTGGGAATAATCACATTGCTGAATTACTGGTGCATGAAGTGGTGCCATATGGCAAAAATTGGGTGTCATAAACGAAATTTCAAATGTGGACACCCAAGTTGCAAATCCTGGCTAAGACCCTGGGCAGCACTCTCCCCCTAATGAGTAAAATCGCCTGGCGTTAGACAGAGTAAAATAATATGGTGTTAGACAGAGTAAAATAATAAAGTAGGGCACACTTAAAGGGTTAAACTGGCTTTGAACTAACTTTTAACTAAAAAAGTGTGTGACTGTTCAAATGACATTTAAACAAACTTATAAATGGCAGTTTAAGTTGTGTGCATTAATAGTTTGTTATACTTTATATAGTTGACACACCCTGATAAATATCTCGAATGTAAACTACAATGTCCAATACAGCGAGGTTCTCAAAAGAATTATTAAAAACACTTTATATAAGAAATTTTCGAAAACTTATGTTATCTCTTAAATACAGATAATATAATTTTAAAGCAAAAATATGCAAGGGAAACAAAAACTCTTGACTTTTTAATACAC